AGCCACTTGAGCCACAGGCGCCGAGCCAAAACTACATTCTTAATGTCTCTTCTATATGTATTCAACCCTGGCTGTGCATCAGAACCATGTAGCAGCTTTATAAAAATCATAGAGAGGCCCAAGATTGAGTTCAGAAGGCCTAAAATATGATTGGACATTTTTTTTTTCTTTTTTATATTCTTTGACATTTTTGAAACTAAATATTTTCTTTTCTCCTATCATTTTTTGTTTGTGTTGACTATAAATGGCAAAGCTTTTGTTTGTTTTTTTCCTTTCTTTCTTTATTTTTTGAAACAGAGTCTCACTATGCCACCCTGGGTAGAATGCCATGGTGTCACAGCTCACAGCAACCTCAAACTCTTGGGCTTAAGTGATTCTCTTGCCTCAGCCTTCCAAGTAGCTGGGACTACAGACACCCAGCACAACACCTGGCTATTTTTTGGTGGTTGTTGTCATTGTTGTTTGGCAGGCCTGGGCTGGGTTCAAACCTGCCAGCTCAAGTGTATGTGGCTGGTGCCCTAGCTGCTGAGCTACAGGTGCTGAGCCTACTTTCTTTATTTAGAAACAGGATCTCACTCTGTTGCCCAGGCTGGATTCAAACTTCTGGGCTCAAGTGATTCTCTTGCCTTAGCCTCCCACAGTGCTGGAACTATAGGCATGAGCCTCTGTGCCTAGCCTATGGTCTTTATATTAGGGCATTCAAACACCTCAACAATACTCTAGCTATTATCCCCATTTCACAGATGAAAAAAATCAAAGCACCAGTTGCTTAAACAACTTGCCACCAGTCCTCAGCCCTGGGAAGGTGCTAGGGCTAAGTGAAATTTGTGGCTTCCTTGGACCTTCATTCCCCCATCCCCCCAGCAAGTACCTCTACGGAGGAAGGGAATGTGATCATCTTCCACAGAGCCAGGGGGCTCCCCAGGTTGGAAGTACATCACCTCCTGGGGATGAGATTGCAGCAGGTTCAAACGATGCAGTCGTCTCTCTGGAGGTGATGGGAATTAAAGAGCAAGAGTTAGTCCTCGGCAGTCAAAGTTCCCCTCTTCACAAATCAGAGGAGGGTTTGTGGTCATCCCAAAAAGAATGAATGCCAGTTATTCCTCACTGTGGGCTTATTCTGTTGCTGGCCTCATTCAATTCCCGAGTCTAGGAGGTAGATATCCTGTTGTCATTACCATAATGCCCATTTTACACATAGGAAATTGAGGCTCAAAAAGAGAAAGCCATTGCCTAAATTCACAAAGCTGGTAAGAAGCAGAGCCAGGACTTGGAACCAGGGCTATCTCATCACAGAGCCCCTGTTTTGTAACCACTATACTTGACTGTGGTGGGATCTGTTTGCCTCTGCCCTAGTTCCTTGGAGAGACGGGAAGGTGGAAGGAAGGCTGTATAAGCCTTTGGAAAACAGGGCCTGACCCACTGAAGCCCTCTCTCCTGTACCCCAGGCTGGTGCACCCTTACCGATGCTCCTGAGCCGCTGGAACCAGCGGACTGTCCGGGGGAAGTGACTGTAAAAAGTCGGATTGGGGGCTCCCAGGAGATCAAGAAGCATAAAGAGCTCCTAGGGAGAGAGGATAGAACTGGAGGGTCCAAGCAGAATACTGTCAACCCCCCTTCACCTTCTCTTTCCCCTACCAGAGCCCAGTGGGACCCTTATCTTACAATAGCCTGTATCCTGGTGGGGCCGGGACTGTGAGGCATGGATTCCATGAGCTGGGCCAGGTGCCGGGAGCCATAAAGGGAGTCCTTGGGTCCCCACTCCTTCAGTGCCTCCTCGCCGTCCAAGAAGAGCAGTTGCAGGGTCACTGGAGCTGCCTAGGGGAGCAGTTGATGGCCAGGGAAGCTCAGGGCCAACCCTCAGGCTCAGGCTCAGCCCATCCATGTTCCCTCCCTTCTTGCACAACTGAACATCTAGTTTGTCCTATTTAAACTCAGAACATTGTGGCCAAGAGCATAGACTCTGAGCTAAACTGCCTGTGATCAAATCCACACTCAACTGCTTCACAAGCAAGCAGACACAAGAAAGTTACTAACTTCAGGAAACATCAGTTTTCTTATCTATAATCACAGTTAATAATGATTCTATTCTTTTTTTTTTTTT